GAGCGAGAGAGACCAATTGAGACAGGGATGGGGCGTCTCCGGCGTAGCTTGTCGTCGGAAACTTTCAGATGCCTCCCCATGCACAATCATTCAGCCTTGCGTCCCAGTCTTTGTGTGCGATGAGGTCGGTTTCGAGTTTCAATGCGACGATTTTCCGGCACGGTCCAGTGCTGCAGTCTACTCTAGCCTGCGGTCTGCTGTAGCCTTCTGCATCTCCACAAAAGTGACATCACACTTTAGCCAAGCACACTGATTTTCGGTGGACAGACCTTTGATTCGGTGAGAAAGAAGCAGTGTCAAGCTGACGGAATGTGACGGAATGTGGCGGAATGTGACGGAATGTGACGGAAATGTTTTGGATTTGACCTTGATTATCCGAAGTCTTGACGCCGCTTTGCTTATGGGTTTGTCGTTTGTCAGAGGGTTCAGCTCTGGCATGACGCCATGTCTTTGGTACATGACTTCGGAACTTTGAGTCACGCTGTAAGAATTGATGGTGCAAGGGACGGGGTTGGCCCAAGTGTCCAAGCGTAGTTATCAAGATGCACAAATCACGGAATTGACAGGATTTGCTGCTGAAACTTTTCTGCGTCGAGACTGGACAGTCAGAGTGCAGAGTGATTGACTTGATTGCAGCAGATAATTCAACGATACAAGACACTTTGCCTCACAAAGAATATAAGAGCTTGCCACATCGATCTACCAACGAAAATTCGCAAATTGCAAAGTACATGTGGATTTGTTTCTTTGCTTGGAACTTATGGAGAGCAAGTAACGCGTTGTCGATATATCTAATGGCCATACCAGTTTGGCTCAAGTCTCCTTACCTTGGGTTTGTTTGTGTCGAAAAGCACACTTTCCTCTCTTCGCCCAAGCCCTATGGCATGTGATGCTGTGGCTTCTTTTTGGGTGTTAGAAGAGGCTTCCTCGGTGGGAGATGACTATCTGCTTGTGGACGCCCCCAAGTCTTTTTCCGGGCGCACCGCCATGGACCAGGAGGAGGCCAAGCCTTTTTCTCCGAGCTTGGTCGACCCGGATGTGAATATGATTCAGGAAGACTTGGATGCGCAGCTCAATGAACTTCAGAGCATTGTGTCTCGCATTGGCATTGGCAGCTCGACTGCGGGGCCACAGCCGGGTGCACGGGCTACTCTTGTCCCCCCAGTAGCCACTGGCGCTGAGGGTGCTAGACAACTTGCTCCGCCAAAGGCCTTTGTCAAGGCATCTCAGCACCCCAGGACACTCTCAAGACCCTGAAAAACGAACTTGATCCCAGACAAGAGCTCCTGAGCTCCGGGACCTTCATGATCGAGGGCTGGGAGACCTTGATGCCTTAATGCCGCCACTTCCGGAGTCGGTAGCACGGTTTGCTCGGGCGGTGAACTCAAGGCTCTACTTTCGGAGTTTGGGACTGCCTCCTGGCAGGCCCTTTGGTGGCTCGGATTGTGGATGTCCACGTCATTGCCAAGAGGTCCGCGGAGTACAACCAACTACCAACTGCTTAAGGTGAAGCACACCTCCATGAAGCGTGGCTCAATCGAATACCTCAAGGAGAAGGACCCCGGCTCTATGCCATCTTCCTTGATTTGTGCGGACTGCAATGCTCCTTGGGGGAACTTGCCGAAGTGCCTCTGCAAAGGCACGACCACAATTGACTTGTCATCCACCCCCATGTCGGTGATTGAGGTCGACGGTCAAGTGTGGCAACTTAGGTTTCCCAACTCAGGTCCGGCTTGTGTCCTGTCCGACTCTAAGGGAATTAAGGAAGCAGGCTACATTGAGGTGGGATACCTGAACAAAACCCCCCTCCGGCAGCAGCCTCTGGCGCTGACCCGGCGTTGGTCAGCTTCGCAGAACAGGTGCCTGAACCAATGGGCGGTCATCTTCCACACCCCAAGGCCATCAAGGTGGTCCAGTTCAAAGCAAACCTGCTCTCGACTGAAGCCAAGGAGCTCGATGCTGAGAGTCAGGAGGCGAAACGCCAGCGATTAGCAGCACAGCAGTTCGTTTTTGGCTGCCTGTTTTCTTGACGAGAACTCCTACCAAGATCCTCGACCCCGCAAAGCAAGCAGTGCAGGATTCCCAAGAGCAGATGCGCTTTCGGGCCGTCTGCGATGAGAGGATCACACTGCCTCTCGGTGCTCAAGCACCTGCCAGGCGTCTTCAACAAGCTCTCTGCCCGTTTGGCGTCACAGTGCGCGGTGGAGGTCCAGGTGGCATGGCGCTGCAACTGCGAAATTTGGTGGGTTGCCTTGGTCCCGCATGACGAGGTCCAACCTTACTACGAGCACTTGGGCTACAGCTAGACGGAGGTGGAGAAGTTCCTCCAGAATGCCGTGAACTCTGGGGCCGACAAGGTATACAACCTGGCACTGGTCAGTACCCGGCTGACCAAGTTCAATATCAGCTCCATTTGTAGCTTGAAGCACTATGGCGACAAGCATGCACATGCCCTGATCCTGGCTCATTCCTTCCTGATCAAGGGAGGCAGGACTCTTCTCCGAACCCGCCTGAGCCTCATCTCCGACAACCAAGGGAACATCTTTGCGCTCTTGCACCAAAAGACCAAACATGCCCACCTCTGCCTTTCTGATGCAGCTCATCGTGATGCTCCACAAGGCAGGAGTCCAACTAGCTCCTTCACACATGAAGAGGGACTACAACCAGTGGGCGGACGAACTCACCCATCCAAATTTTGCTGGCTTCCGACCTGACCGGCAACTACCTGTGAGCGAGGCTTTTTCCCAATTCAAGTTTTTATGGCCCCTGTTGGGCAACCAACCATCAGGACCGAACTCCAAAAGACGTAGGACCGATCCAAAGGCCACCTAAGGTCCAATAAAGCCTGGTGGTCGCGGCTGTTTTCTAGGTTAACGTGGTGGTTTGAGCACCCCTGATGCTCCTCACACTTGACGCGAAAGCCCCTGGCTTCGACGGCCGGGTGGACATGCTGTGTGACACCACCACTAGTTTTGGAAGTGGTTCCTGGAGGGAACCAAACTGATGATGCACGTGGCATTGAACAGAAATCCAGCCGCACAGGCCAACTGCATAGCAAAAGGTTAGTGCTGCTGCAGCTGCCTACTTGTTGACCCATTTTCAGTTCCATTCGGGACGGCATACTAATATACGGACATTTACAATCAAGAGCCAGGCTTTTCCAAGCACTAGCAATCCTGCAGTTTTGCAAAACAACACTTGGATGCACAAACAACACACGCACACACACACACACACCGGAATTGATCTTTCATGATCCGTTTATGATTGCACTTCGCATTCCCGCAACTTGTGTTTGCACCTCAAGTCAGTGATGCAACACGGTCGTGCTTGCGGCGTCGATGCAGGTTTCCACACAAAACAAATCATCACGCGTTTTGAATGGTCATACATGTACGTAACTGTACGTACACAAGCTCTTGGTTAAGGCCAAACTTGTCCGACCAATTTGGGCAAGGCCAGCTTGGGCAATGACATTCGGTGGTCCATACTCGCCGCACCGTATGTCCTAGTTGAACTTGGTCGTTTAAAACGCATTGAGTTTGTTCAAGCAAAAACCAGCTTGGATCCATGTGGATCCTTCGACGACTTCGAAGGCAAGGGCGCTTCAGAGTACAAGCAGACCGCTATGCTACTGGCTCAGGTTGCTGGTGGTCATTTTTGTTGCTCGTCCCTGCAGAAGTATTGCATCATGTCCAGGTAATCCAGCAAAATTCACGGACTTTGTAGCAAATTAATCGCCTTGTCCAGCTTGTGGGGTCCATGTGATGGAGTTGCACATGGACTCTGTCAATCCATGGCAAAGACTCAAACAAAGATACGGAACGTGTGATTAACATAAGCTTGCATAGGCCTGTACCCTTTAAACCATAGTCAAGAGTGCTATCTCCAACTTCAAAACCCAGGCTTCAATTGAGACAGTGGCCCCCAAAGCTCCAAAGTTGCACATTTCACCCCTGGAAATTGTACCGTGCTCAGCTTGCTGTCGCTTTTGGATGGCCACAAAAACTCTTCACATCTTTCATTTCTCAAGCATTGTTCACATCATTCCGAGCGTATTTGCTGAAGGCACGCCTTCCGCTGCTTGAGTTTCCAGGGCGAATCATTGTGATAGCCAGTCCAGAGGCGAATACAAGCCGCAGATGAGCAAGGATCATCAACGACCAATATGCTTCAAATATGCTTCAAATGGAGCGGAATCGGGAAAAGGATGGAAAAGGTCAAAAGGCTGTCCCTCTGTGAGAATTTCCCATTGTCATGTCATGTGCTGTATACGCCCCTTCTTTTTCAACACTCCAAAGGCGTGGTCCACAAACATGCACGCACCACACGCACTTTCAGAACACCCTTCCACGATCCTCCACTCCACTGTTACGTTGCGTGATCCCCAAAAATGGCGCCACACAAAAATTCCGACGGTGTTATCCATACTATGTTACCAGCAGTACCGCGCAAGGCGGTGGCGGAAGTTTCAAAAATAGGAAACCTATAGGAGAGGTTGGTTGTTCTGAATCACGGATGGCAGAGCGAATCCACTGATGGACCGGAAGGTGGTTGATGTCTCCTCTCTTTCTCTCTCTTTCTCTCTCTTTCTCTCTCTTTCTCTCTCTTTCTCTCTCTTTCTTTGATTGCCTACCGATCTATGTATCTATCTATCTAATCTAACCTAACCTAAATCTAATCTAATCTAGTCTAGTCTAATCTAATCTAATCTAATCTGATCTAATCTAATCTATCTATCTCTGTCTGTGTCTGTCTGTCTGTCTATCTGTCTATCTGCCAGATTGAAAACGAAGCTCTTCTGCGAGACTTCCTCATGTTTCGAACTTAACAACATAAAAACAAAACAATTCTGCGACACTTCTTTTTTTTCAACCTAACAACGTCCAAAACCGCAGCAATTCTGCGAGACTTCCTCAATGTTTGAACTTAACAACGTCAAAAACAAAGCAATTCTGCGAGACTTCCTTCAAAAATGGAAAGTTGAGTGCAGCGCTGGGAGCCTCGTGCCAGTGCGTTTTGCAATTTTTCCACTCCACCTGTGTAAAGTATTGCGCCTGCCACGAAACATTGATGCCAGGTCATACGAAGTGCTGCACCTGTCACGCAAAATCATCTCAGCAAACCTGAAGATCTGATGCTCCAAAATGCAACCCCTCTCAGGAAATGAGCGCCCTGACCTCCGAACATCTCTGATGAACATGTCTTTTGTATTCTTTTGTACTGCACCTGCCACGCGAAATGCTTCTTTGAAGATCCTCTTCAAATGCCCCACGCCTGCCATCCTTTTTAGAAATGCTACAAAGCCCTCACGTTTTGCTCACTTTGACAAGGTGCACAATCCCTTGCGCCTGCCACGCAAAACGACATCTGAACTTCCAAAAGTGGCGCGAACATGTAGTGTTTTGTACATTTTGACTTCGGAATGTGCTTCGCGCCACAACGGCGTGCACTTTTTCGACATCTGAACTTCCAAAAGTGGTCCGAAACCCTGGTGTTTTTGACATTTTGACTTCGAAATGTGCTTCGCACCACAACGGCGTGCACTTTTTCGACATCTCAACTTCCAAAAGTGGTCCGACAATGGTGTGTTTTGTGCATTTTGACTTCGAAATGTGCTTCGCGCCACAACGGCCTGCACTTTTTCGACATCTCAACTTCCAATAGTGGTCCGAGAACGGTGTGTTTTGTACATTTTCACTTCGACATGTGCTTCGCGCCACAACGGTGTGCACTTTTTCGACATCTCAACTTCCAAAGGTGCTCCGAGACCCAGGTGTCTTGTACCTTTTCACTTCAAAATCTGCTTCGCGCCACAACGGCTTGCAACTTTTCATTTCTCATCACCCCAGATGTCTCCGCACCCGCCGCTTTAGCAAGCCTACTTTTCGACCTCCGGAGCCATAAAACATCGAAAAAAACAGTCTTTCGCGACTTTCCTACCTTTTCGCACACCAGCATCTTCTTTCTTCTGATCTTTTCTCTTCTGACTTTTCTCCCCTCTGACTCTGCTCCCGTCTGGCTCTTCGCACCTCTGCTTTTTCATCTGTCCATATTGTCGGAAGTTTAACTTCTAAACTTCCTTCGACTATATAATACGCCATATAGAGTGATGTTCTCCCACTGAAACTCCCAGAAGGTGTGGTACAGGTACACGATCACAAGCTGCCACTAAACGATGTATTTTCTTTTTCACTTGATGTCATGACTGATGTGTCATGTTGTTACGCTAAAGGCGAAGAGCGTGAGCTCCTCATTCCAAAGTCCCGTCCCTGGCCTTGCAACATTTTGTGTCATGTTTGCAGGAAGAAAAACGCATCGAGTCGATCTTCGAGAACGAGGTTGAAACACATTGAAACCAATTTGTTGGACACCACTTCCTTCATGGCTCCATTGCATGTGTAGGAATTCACAAAATTCCAGCGCGGTCATGGTACTCATGCTTCGCGTGCGGTTGCTTTTGTTTCCTTCCTTGTGGACTTATTCGCAGGGGCTTTGCTGCAGTTTTTGTAGGCCCTACTCGGTTTTGACTCTGAAAGTCGGCCTAGCTCTGCCTTGGCACCCCAGAACAGGTGCCAACATGGGATGTTCAAGGCAGACTAAGGCAGTTTGGTATAGATTGTTATAGATTGTTATAGTTTGTTCATCAAATTGGCAAGGGTTTTCAGGGGGCTGCACTGTGGTTGTGGTTTGACAGCGCGCTGAACGCGCATGACGTGCTCTGCAGGATGGCATTGATTCAACTCGCCTCTGAGAAGGTCGCTTGCCTTTGGCGTCTTTCTGATTCAAGGCGATGATTTTGCCTGTGCACCACCATGAAGTGCACCATGCAGTCCTGTAGCGATCATTTGACAAATGAGACTTGCAATACTTGGAGTTTCAAGTGTTTCAAGTCACAGTGGTGTGTCAAATGTGATGACAGGAACCTTCCTCCCTTGCTTGGCAAGTTGCTTCTGGAGACATGGCATAAGTTTCGCTTGCAGTTGCTTTACTGATAGGACTTCCAGCCGCATGTCGAAGCCGCCATTGCATTTGCGCCAGGACCCTGCAGTTCACAAGGCTCGAAGCTTGTTTGTCTGCTCCGCTGATCGCTCCACAAAGTTCGGAATCTGCTGAAACATTGCTTTGAATTATGTCATTATGTCTCTCTAAATCATTTGGAGTACGTGATTCAGCAGTTGAGAGGATCGTTTTGACATGTTTCAACAGAAAAAATTGAAATGAAGGTGTCTCAGGGGGCTGTGAATGAGATCAACGCTTTGAAGGACCAATTTGGAATCAGCCCACAGGCGCATTCAGATTCATTGCATGGATGCTGGGTGATCTTGGATGTAGATGTAATCTATATACAGTCAAGGGTCAAAGTTGTAGCGATTTCACAGTGCTGCTTTCACATCTTGCAGAAAAGCTTTCAGGGGGGTTGGACTGATGGTGGCTGTGCCTACAGGATTTGTACCCCTTTCAATCATTTTGATTCTGTCTTTCTGATTGCGTCTACTGCGGCTGCAGTCGTTTATCGACCTCCATCATATCGCATTGCACTTAAGAACAACGTCCTTGGCTTAACAAAAGCGTTCACTGAGATCATCATGCGTGATTTACATGTGTGCTGCAAGATGAACGCTTGCGTTTTGTTTAAAGGTGCAAACTGCCATTTCTTTTTGCTTTTTTTGGCCTTCGTTAAACATGATATAGCTTTGAACGCTTGAATCTGTGAACGCTTGCCGTGCTCCATTTGTTGGAGTTTCGACCGAGGCCCAGATCCCTGCAGGGTTTAGTGGCAATCTTTCTTCAGAAGCGACTAAACAAGGACACAGCACAAAGAAATACAAAGAAAAAAGGTAAATATCAAAATGAAAGAAGGATCAAGAAATGAAAAAAGGCAGACTTGACCTGACTTGCGCTGAATAATGTCACACCGTGACTCTGTGAATGCCAAAGTGTCATCATCACCAGGCTGGACATGGAATGACATGGATGCACCCCGCTGCCGCAGCCGCAGGAGCAGCGGCTTACTGACTGGCAGCAAAGCTCTTTGACACAGGCCACTGTGGCCATGCTCTGTGGGTGTTGTTCGATTCTACTCTAGCAAATTCATGGCCAAGAGCACAAAAAAGAGACATTAATTATATATACTATATATATAAATAACAAGAATAATAATAATATATAATAATAATATATAATAATAATAATAATAATAATAATAAGAATAAGATATAGAATATATATATATGTATATCATGACGTATATTTGATTCCCCTATTTAATCATATTACAATGTCTAAGATATGACTTCATGTATTGTGCCGGCATAAATTGGCATACATTTACGCAGTTATGAGCAGGTATAAAGTCATGTCGCACTCGCAAGGAACGATGAAACGAAAGACGAAGTATTGCTGGCTTTCTCTCCGCCTTTTCTCCATCGATTGTTTGAGGTGTAGTCTGATGAGTCTGCTTAGTATAGTTTGCTGTAGCTTTGGCCTTCCATCTCTTCAGGCTCAGATAGAGTATGCTGCTACAGATGCATGGGCAGCTCGAGAGGTGCCAATTTCTGCACCAGTTGAAAACACATCAGAGGGAGCAACGTGGTGAACAGATGTGAACAGGACATAGACAGTGTAATGCTGCAACAGCTTCATTCAAAGAACATGTGCTATAGTCTGCACGTGTTTGCGCAAAAAACTTCTCTAGCCCTGCCGTGAAGTTTGCTGCTTGGCTTTGACCAGGGGGAGGCGTTTGAGGTGGACACCCATGGACAAAGGACCACATGATTCAAACCAATTTAAACCAATTCACATGTACATCATGTACTTCACATGTCTTAGATGTCCCCTTAGATATAGCCTTATATATATATAGGACTATAGCCTAGCTAAGACATGCGACTTCTAAAGCCTTGACCTCAAGCTGCGAGAACCTCACTTCCACTCTCTACATTGATTTATACACACAGATTGCTACACACAGAAGACCAGAATTTGACAGAATTTGTGACTATTCAAATTTATTTGTGGCTTGTATGGTTTTCACATGTTTTGACTAGCTGCTCCGGAAAGCGAAGCTGTGGTGGAAATGCCCATGGCAATGCTGCTCTTCAGGTGGGCTTTCCTTTGACGGATGGTTCTGATGCTTTGTAGATCTTTGCGGTAAAATCCAGGATGTTTTGGCCACGCTCTTTTTCTCTGGCTTTCCCTCTCGTTGTTTTTGGTATGGTCCAATCAGCAACAACATGATGCAGCACAAGAGCCTTGCACTAAAAAAAAAGGGTATTGTCTGAAATAGTATGCAACCTGGAAAGGTATCCGATGTGGCAACAATAGCTGGGTCCTGCGTCCGTCAGACCATGGCCGTGTGCCATTGGACGAAGCAGGCTTTCAACAAAACATGTGTGTATCTGCTTGCATGTCAACGAATGAATTGCTCAATTTGATTGCATGCACAGAAGGTTCTGAACACGGAGGTTGCCGTTGCAGCTTGTTGACTGCAGGCAAATCGAAAGCCGATGGACGTTGGATTGTGGGATCGAAGATATTCTAAGCTCTCAGCTCAGCACTTCATCATGTGATACGATTTGGCCCACAAATATGTGCAACCCACTCAGCACATGGCATGGAACGGTAAAATTCTGCTATATCAAATAGCATCACATATGTACTTGCTGCTCCCTTTGTGCGCATTGGTAATCACATTGAATCAATCAGTTTTTTCACCTCCACAAAGTGTTTTTTGAATGGTCGACCCGACAGTAAATCATCGCCTACCAACGCGGGGGATGGTTAAAAGTCAGCTACATGTAGTCATTCCGGGCCAAGTTTTCTCACTTGCGATTCTTTCATTGGTTTGCTTAGCTTGCTTGATTGTTTTTTCTTTCATTTGTTTGCTTGTTCAGCTGTTCATTCATCCGTTTTGATTTATTCTGTCATTCATTCTTTCACTGATTCATGCACTGGGACATCGGGACATCCCTTTCTAAGTCGCACTTTCTTTCCTGCGGCCAGCATTTGCCATTACTTCAGCCCCACCGGCCTGGTGCTGTGTTGAATGAATATCGGGGACATAGCAACAGCCAACACCACTTTCACAGTGTCCTTGGCAGCAAACCCTGACCAAACTCGACCAAGTTATCTGCTCAAATATGTTCTTCATTTTGGACACTGACGTTGACATGCTATCAATTTAGATTTTGTGTTTTGAGGGAGCACAAATAATTTTCCCTCAGGCGACGTTGTTGTAATTCAATGCGGTCTCTGCGTTGTGCAGAGCTAGCACTGCTAGGCAAGGTTTTGCATATGGAAGAGCTCGAACCCCAGTCTAGCGTCCTAGCGCTTTCGGGCAGACAAAAAATGTGGTATTGGCCGATGATAGACTTGAGTCCACAAAAACAGATTGAGAACTCAAGGGTACAGATTGGGAGAATGGGAGTGCTCTCTCTCTCTATTTCTGTCTGCCTCTCTCTGTCGCTGTCTCTCGCTCTCATTGTCCATACATATCAGCAATTTCTAGGAACCTCTTCTGGTTTCAGGACCCCAACGAGTTCCTGCTTGAGGTGGCGGACTTGTTGCAGCCTCAAACCTTTCCCGATCCATTCTTTAAACAAGTCGCATAACCTCGCGATGTGTGGTTGTGTGTGCCTGCGTGCTGCAAAGTGTGAGTCATGGATGGTCATGGCATGTTTGTGCAGTGCTCTAAGGATGCCGACCAGCGGCAAAGCGCTGTCGCTGGGTGAGGGGGAGGCGCTGCACTGGACTTCGGCAGTTGAAATGAGTGAAATGGAGGACAGTACAAAGGACATGAATGGACAGGATCTTGCAACTTTAGGAGGCAGGTAAGATTTTAGACATAAAAGTAATCAACATTCTAAGAGAATGAAATACCATGACATATTGACATACATTTAAAATGTGTCACAAAGTATGCATTTTTCTTGCCAATGTCAGGGGCGAAATGCAACGTTTCTCACAAAACGTGGCACCTGGCTCAGCTTTGCTATGTTGGCTCTTGCTCAGCGACCTCAACGTCCGCAGCTGCTCAGACCTGAAGGTTTGACATGTACGGCCGTTGACATCTCCAAAGTTGGGCTGTCGAAGGCGGTGGATTTGCACCGTTGACAGAAGACCGTTTTCCTCGCAACCCCAACCGTTCTTCTTTGCTGTTGTCCTTTGTTCATGTTGCATGGCATAGCACAGTAAAGCACACCACTCTGAGTCCCAGACTTGTAAAGGCTCGGCGGCTTGCCGAAGAGCAAGGTATCAAGATCAAAACCGTCCGGAACCAAGCAGCCTTAGTGGCCCTAGCGGCCCCAGCGATCACATAGCCGACATAGCCGAAGTAGCCTGTGCTAGATTGAGAAAAAGTTGAACAACTCCAAATGGTTTGTGCAATCATGGCACCCAGCGACTCAGCCAGGTCGTTTGATTTAGGGGTAAAGCATGGTAAAGCCTTGAAGCTCCAAATTCCTCGTGCCGATGTTAGGCTCCGCGTTCAACTCAGGTGGCTGCTGATCTTGCCAATTTCGATTTTGGGGTAGATAGCTGGGTCCTGAGCCACAAGGCTTCTGATATCTGATAATTTTCATGCAGCTGTTGGATGAAGCTATGGCCTTCAGGTTGGGACCTCATCATCTCCATTTTTTGCCATTTTCCAGCGGATGTGCGCTGGCAGGCATTTCAGTTTTTGATCATCAGATATTGCTTTTTGATGCTTTTTGATGCTTATTGATGAACATGCCGAACATATCCTAATAATATAAGATACTACAAGTATGACTCCGCTATGCCTTACTATGATTCATGACCCTTTCAGGCAAACTCTGCTTGATCGGATGATGTGTCCTCGCGCTGCAAAATGTTTGATTGTGGTTGTTCTGCAGTGGTGTTTTGAAAGCTCGCATGCCTATGTTGGATTTGGAGGTCCATAGGTCAGCTGCAAAGTCTTTGCGACCAGGAGGCATGCTGTCAACACGCTTGTCATGAAACTATGATTTGTGAACGATGTGTGGATTCTTATTCCTACAATATTTTTGCAGGCTACAGTAAGTAAGTAGGCGATGCACCATCGGGAACACATTGGAGGCTTCAAAGTGGAGTTAAGGTGCTCCTTGTGACACTCCTAGATTTCGTAGTGACGTCGTAGTGTCGTAGGCATTGTTGTGGTGGAAGCATTCACCCCCGAGCAGCTGGCGGCCCAGTCCTCCATTTCGCCTCTGCCATGCACTTGAGAAGTGGAGAAAGCTTTTGAAATCTTTTGACAAGTGATTTCGCAACCCCACTACCAGGCACACAATGATGTACGACCCGAATCTCTGTTTATCAATTTATCCAAACAAGATAGTTCATATTGATATGCAATCATTCGATGCACTGCGCACGCAGGCTCAAGTACAACACAGGAGGACCTCCAGATTTGGAGCGTTTGGCAAGCTGCTCAGCCAGACTGCAATCTTGGCATGACACGCATGATTGGAATGGTTTGGAGGTCATTCCTTGAGCCACATAGAGTCTTCATCCATAGGAGGCTTTCTTTCGTGTCTGAGCAGGTCACTCCCAAGATGCTACAAGAGGATTTTGAGGGTCTGGAGGCCCACTGTCATTAGTCAGTCGTAACAAACACACCAGAGATCAGTGGGCTTTCTCCGTGTAATGGCATCTAACAGCAATACAGTGCATGCACATGTCACACTCGCTGTGACTTTGTCGCAGGTGCTTCGTTGCGAGCAGAAAGAGCGCGCTGTGGTAGAGGGGACGTATCATACAGGCCTGCCTGGTGGCCCTTGCAGTTGCAGTATTCTCGGACCATTCTCATGTCTCACGCATAATGGAATGGAACCCACCTATCGGGAGGCCTTAGTTCTGTTGTACAGCCGGATACCCAGTATGATGACGTATGATGATGTATGATGTAAATTGACTTGCAAACACACCGCTGTGACAGAAGAATCAGGTTTGTGGGTCGAAAGAGCCTTTCAACGAAGGAGACAGTACGGTCTCTACTAGTATGTTGTGTTCATTCGATTTTGACTTCTGCTTGCATGCCCTGTGTGCAGGAATGGAAGCTGGACAAAGTGTCGCAATACCAGATGCGACAGAGCCCAAGTTTCAACTCTGGGAGAGCTGTCTGCTTTTAATAATCTTTTAATTAGCCACCCCAGGACGGAACTTGGCGAAAATCACGACACCTTTACTGAGGTATTGACCAGGCAATCTCGGACATGCAGGACGGAAGAGTAAAAAGGAACTATAAAAGGACAACTTGACGACTTGACAATACTTGAGACAGACTTGAGATGTGTACACTGTGGACATCTGTGGACATCTGTGGACAGTGTACCAGTCTTCGTCTGGCAGAATCCTGGGGTCGGAGGACGCCGGTGGCTCCTTCATCTCCAACATTTTTCCAGCTCCAAAGGACGATTTGGACATTTGATGACATTTGAACACTTTGAGTTGTGCTGCGTCGGTCTCTGCCGAAGGTATTCAGCATGTGTCAACCGAACTCTTCATATCCCTTACAAAAGTTCAAAAGCTAATAGTGAATTCTATTTCAGACAATTCTTTTCAGATCATCTCAAGTGTGGTTTCACACTGCTGATCAACCTGTTCTCGTTGCCCGTAGATGCAGGCCCGAGCAGTGACCCCGTTGTCGGAAAAGCAGCCATTCTTCGATTTGCCAGATGCAGATGATGCAGATGGACAGAAGCATCGGGAATGGGCTGAGAGGCTGTGGCACCGCATGGACCGTGACCGCAGTGGAACGGTCACTCGAGAGGAACTTATGTGTGATGAGTTTCAGGAGATCCTGAAGGCTGTCATTGCTCCAAAACGAACCAAGACCAACGCTGCATACAGCCGCGCTGAAATCAATGTCACACAGGCAGTGGATTTCTGTATGCGGAAAGCTGCACAGAACGGAAGTGGCGAGCTCTCGTTTGATGAATTTAGCTCCTTTTTGCGAGTACTTCGCAAGACCGGTGCCAGCAGCCGGAAAGCTGATCTGATTTTTGCCCTTTTTGACCTTGATCAAAGTGGCTTTCTGGACAAAGAGGAGTTTTTGGAGGTTTATCGCTACTTTCTTGGTCACAGGCCAACAGCTGAGAAGTTCGAGGAAGAGTGGGCCAATGTCGATGTGGCAGCCACAGGACGGGTAAGCCAAAAGCAATATGATAGATGGCTGCGCGCAAGCAACAACCCTGTCTTCAAGCCCTATGCCACCACCGACGATGCTGTAGAAGCTGGTCCTAAGTTCTCGAAAAAAGATGCCAATGGCTTGCTTCAGTCGACTAGGCAAAAGAGAAATGCTTGGCGGCCTCTTTGGAATGACCGCTGGAATTGCCAAGACAGCTCCATCCTAAACAAGGCTCTAATGCCAAGACAGAAACATATGTTCTCCAGGGTACAATCAGAACCAGAGCTTCGCCGCTTTTACATGCGGCATCCTCGCTGGGATTCCCACTACGTGCGGCTGGATGCTGCACAACAGCCCAGGCCACAAAGCCTGTTGACGCCAGATTTGCCTCCGCTCCTACCTGACCGGCATGTGCCAAATGGAAGGATGCGCAATCCGGTCACTGGTCAACGTGAGAGCTGGAATGACTACTGGCAAACTCCGAAGAGTTCTGACTTAGTTCCAAAGTTCACTCCTGGTTCGCTCCTGTTGCGTTGCCCTGGCCAGCCCCCTGAACATCTAGTGCAAGGCAAAGAAGATTGACTTCTGGCCTGAAAGCGCTGAGTCTGCTAAGGTGTGAAATATGTGTGAGATATGAGATATGTGTGAACGTTTCACCATCCGCTCTGTTAAACAGAACCAGTGTGAATCTGTGGCAAAGGCTGCAGAGCATGACGGCTTTGCCACTCCAGCTGTCAAGCTGACACGCTTTTAGAAGTCAGCTACCAGTGCAACCCCGCATTGGTTCGCTGCGAGAAGAAACGGCGCATGCACACCTAGACAGCAGATGAGTGAGGAAGCCAGGCACCCACATGGCATAGCATAATGGTAATATGATTATACTAATTGATTATATAAATATGTAGATTTTATATTCATTAAAAGCAAACATTGTTAAACATGTAGATAAACAAAGTAATAGCAAGTTATATAATATGTATATATACGGTATGTATATATACACACTATAATGTCATATTATATGATATAATATGATATAATATCATATTGTATGATACTTGTATGATATTATATTGATGCCATCATACTTGCATCCAAAGCCGGTTCTATGGAGACTCTTGAAATTATCGGCATGCTGCTATCTGCCCTCCGTTTCTTCTGTCCCAGGATCCCTTTCTTTCTGTTGCTCGGCACGCTCTTGGGCACACGATCCAGGCTGACCTCTGCAAAGCTTTATTGAACATCTTGTTGAATCTTGTCACTTGTAGAAACTAAATTGGGCAAAAAGACATCTCGAAGATGCCACATATCGATACATATCGTATATACTGTGAAGTGCTCTGGAGTTTTGCTTCAGGATGCACAACATCATTTCGGAATGCAATGAGATCACTGCGTGAGGCCAGCAAAGAAACAGGACAATGCCGCTACTGTTGGCTTCTAGAGGCTGGGCAGCCCTGGCCCCCTGTCAGCGGGCCCCATCTGTTGTCACTGCAGGTTTTGTCATCAGGTGTTGTCACTGTTTAACCTGTTTTGTCTCTCGCAGGAAGATTGTGTGTGCGCTCAGATGAGAGAGCAGGCTCGGACACAGGTCCTTGACCGATTGAATGCTGGTGTTGTAGATGTTGCTGATGTCTGATCCCGTTGGAGGCTGCTTTGACATGTGGGCCGGTGCAGTGGGATCTGTCCTCAGTTTTGTGTAGAATTTGGAGTAGGAGCGCTCATGAACAGTCTGAGAAGGCATTCTTTAAGCACCCTTTGACAGATGCAGTTGAGGCACTATTGTGTCATCCACTGGAATTTATGCGCTCCAGCAGTAGTGGAAAGCTTCTCGCAATTCTGTCATGGTTTGAACTCAAGCCTCTTGCCGACTTTGCATGTTTGCATGAATGATCATGAATGATCATGAACAAGCAACATGTTCAACATGACATCAGGAAGGAACTCTTTGGATCATGTGCATTCGCAATGCCAGGCCTCTGTGCTTGGGGGAGAGTTTCTTGTTTTCGGTGCCTGCTTCTCAGACTCTGAGATGAGGTGATGGTAGGTGTGGGTTGCACTTGTTCCTATATACGTAAGCATGTACGGTAGAGGGCAGTCCATGCTGTGCAGAAGAATAGGTGGAATAGGCACGAATAGGCAATGCATTTTTCAGAAGCGCAGGCACAGTCTCCACCAAGTTTGTGTAGGAAGCTCTTGAACAAAATTGCCCTACAGTCACTACTTGTGCACTCGTACAATTCCGATCAATTCCCCATTGCATTCCCATTGTCTTCGTTGATTTTCCAATTTCATTCGATCCAATTCGACTTATTTGCTCCGCTCACGAGGTGCAAGAACACGAGGACATTCTTGACAAGGTCCTTTCCGACAGTGGGACGAGGCTTTTGCTTCCGGGTGATGGCAGCAGGACAGAGGGAGTCAAGGTGGTGGAAGACAGAATAATAAGAAAGATCATACAGTAATTCCATATCCCAATCATTTCTTCCCTTCATCATTTTATCAGTTAACCATGGTTAACCACAATAAACAACCAAGTTGTACATCGGATGCCTTTGTGTTCGAAAATAATACGCGTTTGCGCCAAAAAAATCTCAAAGGAATCATAATTCATGCTCAAGAGTATTCAGTATTCAGTATCGATTGATGATTAATGTGTAGTATCAATCTAAACTAAACATTTACATTGGAACTGTTTCTCGGTTTCGATATTAATCTATACTATAGATATGGCTTCAAGAGATGTGTTGAATTGAAGTTTCAAACGGTGTGTGAGGTATTTCCATATTGGCTTTGATATTTTCTTTTGTCAGTTTTTGCTCCCCTTCACAGGAGGTTGAAGGATTGGTTGTCCGAAGATCAAGCTTGCAACTCAGTCCGCCAGTCGGAATGTGAACATGTGCTTTAGACTTTATTGTTCCCGCCTGGGTTCTCATGCATTAGAATGTAAGTTGTCTGAAAGAAAACTAGCTGAATTATTCGACACAGGTTTTGAGCCTGAGAACTCACCCTCTGGGCCTTCGGAAGGATTCTCATCAAGTTTGGTCGACGGGCATTACATGGCATTATACCACGATCAATGCAGTACACCGCAGATCGCAGGGTGTCATTGTAGAAGCCAAGCTGGCAGCTGGCAACTTGGCTATGACCTCGAAAACACAAGAAATGAATAGAAATGAATAGAAATGACTTAAATGACATGGGAGCAATATGGAATAATGAGTACTTTTGACTTTTTGAATCTTTTTCATCTTTTTTCCACCGACTCTGAGAGGTCAACTAATGAAATCCGTCCACTCAAGACGGCTGCCCGCCCTCGACCCCTGGAACAATACAGGCCGAAGCTGTACAATAAGAGAAATCAGAGACCATCACTGGCCGCAACCACTGCGCGTAAAGGTCATGGAGAGCTGCAGCAAATTCGGGTGCTCCAGGTTCCAAAGGCGGTTCCAGAACTAGGTTCCCAAGAAAAAGTCTGAGGTTCTAAAGGTGTGTCCAAAGTCCAAACATCAGCTTCCCAAATGCAAACGTTTTGAAGCCGGGGTCATCCAAAAAACGGCTCCCAAGGACAAAGCGTCCAAACTGCAAGTTTTTTTCAAACTTTTGAAGGGTAATTCTCAAAGGCAACATTTCCCACAGTCTTACTCAGTCTTTCTGAAATTCTAGCTAGGTTCTTAGGGTTAGCTAGTAGCAGGTTGCCAAGCGCAAAGTGGTTGCGCTCGGATTCTAAACATTTCTAAACAACACAAGGTTCTGCATCACTCTTGTATCACTGAGTCACTGAGTATGCCCACTTTGATGCACTTTGTTCGGAGACATGGCCATGATGGAGACCACATGGCGGCTCACTATGTTCACTTTCCGTTTCTATTTAAAGGGTGCCCGCCCGCTGCAACCCCCAAATACTAGTGACATCCAGGAAAAAAAGAGAACATCATGATGCTCAATTAAGATCAATTTAAACCGTGCAATAAAAGGACATTTACTATCTAAGCACTAAAGATGGTGATACAGTAATCAATTGGCCAGTTTGATACCTGCCGAACCATCTTTTCTGATAGCGGCCGGTTTTGATTGCAAAAACCACATCTGGCGTGCGCACCTGCCTTTTCTGACCAAGATCAACAGCAAGCAAATTGGGGGCCCCTCCTGCCAGTGCCAAGCCCCGGCAAGGGCTGAGCCGAGAGCGACGAAGAGAAAGTGCGTAAAAACCACATGTGATGGTCGTATCCAAAGCTATGTATCACCGACGCGTGCCCCCAGCTCTGGGGATTAGGTGATTAGGTAACTTTAGGATACTTTAGGTGCTAGTTTGCACATGGTTGCAACAATTGATCATGAAAATCCCTGCGCCAGTTTTCTTGCGCTCTTCTTGCACACAACATATGCCTTGGAGGGGTTCCTTTTGCAGTACTTGGTGGCTTTTTACATAGACATCATAGACCATTCCTTAGAACAATTTCTCGAGAATCGGGATTGCATCTCTCCATTTTGCCCTATTCCAGGTTGTTTCTAGGCCCTCCAGCCAGGACACATGTCACCAGTTTGTTTTGACTTTGGCTACACTCTCGTTTGTTGAGCGTTTAAGGTGATTGTACAGGTACCCTTTTCTGGCAAACTGATCTTCAGCATCAGATGCACATACAAAGTTACCATGAAGAAATACACTTGCACAAAAGTCAACCAAAAAACCGCAACTTAAGCTGGTGCCATGAAGAAATCCTCAAAGCCCAACCTCCTGACTCCTGAGCCTTGCCTACTCGTGTTCAAGATAAAAAACAACAACACCCGAGTGTGCAATGCTTGCTTGTGTACTCTTCGAGGTCATTCCCTCAGAGAGTGTTGGCACTGGCAGCGGGAGCCCCATTCTGACTTTGTCGGTCTGACTGGTTTTAGAGGAAGAGTCGTGGAACATTGTATGACTTTGTATGACCTTAGTGTAGGATGACGTTGGTGTATGGTTGTATGATGTTGTACGCGCTGGTGTGGGCATTGTTCAAAAGTTATGGTCGCGGCAGGTTGGTCCTTGATGGATCTTGGGATCAGGTGCCGTGAGAGTGACCATGTCATGGCAGAGAACGTTAGATTCCTAAGATTGTAATTGTAGGAGGCACTGTGCTGCAGATGTCAACTGTCAACTTGCAAATTTTTCGAAGTAGCAGGATGAGAAAGGATCAAAGTTCAAAGGATACAAAAGAACGAACTTTTGCTTTCTCAGGTGCGAGCTTTGGAGCGAGAGCTTGCAGATAGAAGAAGCGCCATGGGCCAAAGGGACCCTTTGCCTCGTATCAGGATCGGGATGACTATTGCATTGTACAGAAACCTGAGATGTTGGAATGTTTAGCGGTTTTGCTTTCCTGGATGCGTGGTCGCACTGAAAGGCTAGATGATGCTGCAGTGGAGAGTTTTCACTCTCCGCTCATTGATGCTCTCAAGCCAGGGGCAGGTAAAGGCAGGCAATGCACAGCAGTGCAGCATGCTGCAGCATGTTTGCAATGTTTTCTGGTGTTTCCCGTTCGAATGCCGCAAATGCCGCAAATGGCAAAGCACTGCAACGGAGAAGTGTCTTCAGTGCTTTGCTCGTGCGGAGGTCGGCTGTCCACCTTCGAAGCTTGTGCTTTGTTCCTACGAGAAGCTGAGGCAGCTGATGGCAGCTGATGGCAGCTGATGGCAGCTGATGGCAGCTGATGGCAGCTGTGTTAGCTCGGATTATTCGGATTGTTCCTACCAGATGCGTTCAGCATTTTCAGCGCCATTCAGCGCGAAACAGCTTGCTCTTCTCCCTGCACGCGCAGGATTGCTTGTGCGTTCCACGTGGGACATGGAAGGTCTTGTGAGCAGAGTGAGCAGACAGCTTTATGATGCTTTATTAATCTTTATTCATCTTTATTATGTTCCTCTTTTTTTTCTTGTTTAGACAGCATGTTGTGAATGACGGCAAGGGCCCCACAGGATTGATAAAGTCCTTCTGTTCTCCAAGCTGCGCTCTATAGCCACGGTCCAACAGGAAGCGTTGAAGGGGCCAGAGCCAAAGTTCTCTTTGCCAATCTTCAAAGCAGTTTGTTGTCAAGCCGTGTATCTTAGCAGCAGCATACTCAGCATACCATATGCGAACTTCCAGTTTCATCTAATGCGCTTGCCTGGATGCAGCCATTGACAGGGTCAAAGAGAACCCCACAACCCAAACTCTCTGAATGCCTCGAGCAAATCACCAAACAGGCTGGGTTCTCAAGCTCGGAATCTTTGCCGTCAGACAAGGACAGGTTATGACAGGTTCAGCAGCTTCAGCATTTGTCACAAGTTGTCTTCTCAGTTGTCTACTGTTGATATCTGTTGATTCAAGAAGTGTGGTGCTCACTGGTGCTCACTTTCAGGCGATGCGTTTTACAATACCCGCCTGGTCCTTGTGCACATGGTGCGTGGTTTGCTGCGCGGAAAGAGACATGAGCAAAGGTTTTCCATACCCGCCGGATACTCGTCCAGCGGGGTGTCGCAAATACAAGAGGTGCGGTGCAGCATTTTATTTCAACATGCGAGTGCAAATTGAATCAAATTGAAGGGTGAACGCATTCTACAATTGAGCATACAATACTATACCATACTATACCCATGCATATGCCCCATGCGACCAGCTAAGTTGACTAATTACTCAAGTTGACTACAATTTCACTAGTAATGTACTTGGCAGCCAAAGACTAAAGAACGGCAACAACAGAAAACACACTTTTGAAGAAATACATGAGCACACACTGATTGGGTATGAACAAGCTGCGCCTTGGCAGGAAAGACTTCTCTAACCATACAGTTTCCATCATTATCCCTTGGCTTGCTGAGAAGTGGGTGCATATGGAAGGCACCATGAAGGCAATTTTGCATTTTACACCAGATGAGTTGGTGAACGAGTACATTTGGATATCCGATGGGAACCAAGACTCCAAAGAAGCGGAGTTGAAAGCTCTGTCGCCCAAAGTGAGGGTTTTTGCTTTTAATGAGAGACAGGGTTTGATGCGTGCAAAAATGAAAGGAGTCGAGATGGCAACTGCACCTGTGATCGTTTTCCTTGAAGCACATGTTATTCCCAACAAGCACTGGCTGCAGCATATTCTTCACCGGGTAGTGGTGAATCCGAAAGTGTTGGCAATGCCAGTGCTGGATCAGATTCCACAAGAAAATTGGCATCAATACTATCCTATGTCTCCTGGACATTGGCGGTACGAGTGGAACTTTAATCTAGTCTACACGAGTCTCGCTCTGAAAGATAGGAAACGATAGGAAACACATGGAAACACAGTAACACAGTCCTTATGTTTTCGAATTGTGAGGGTTTGATTCCCTATGCAGGAGAAGTGGCTTTAGATGCCACCAGCATTCATAAAAGAGCTGATAGTGACAAACTGCCAAGGTTGGCCGATTGAAGAAGTTGTCAAATTGCCCTTCTCAGGTCATCTCAGGTCCATAGGAAGTACACGTAGGTTGCTGATGGTAGAGGTGACATGATGTAACGGTGTAGTCATGACAGAGGGAAAGGCTCTGCCTTCACAAATCTCCACATGACCTGGGCTTTTGCGCCGAGAGCTGCGCCAAGGAATCCTGGTGGTTTGATTCGAAATGATGTTCCGGAACCGTATCCGAGTCCAGGCGAAGTTCTTGGCCAACATGCTGTGAACATTTTTAACTCTTGGACGCTTCTTTTTGTCTGAAGATTCTTTGAAGATAATTGAAGGTTTCAGCTGTTTTACTTGCCTGGACTTCGACCAGCTTTGACACCATTGCTCTCTGATTTTTGCTCTGCTTTGTCAGACTTTGTCAGGAACATCAGGTGGCATTTTTGCAATGCGGAAGGACTGGTTCCAACAGCTTGGACTCTTTGATGAGGGGATGAGAGAGTGGGGAGGTGCTTGGCTGAGCTTGGCCGAGCCTTGCTGAGCGCTGTTGGTTGTAATATGTTGTAATGATTGCAATGTGCCACGATGTGCCACGATGTGCCACGACTCCACCGCTCATTTCTTCTTGTCCCACCCTGATTTCTTTCATAGTTGAATCATGTTGAATCACTCATCATTGACTCATCATGCTTCTTTTTAAGGAGTTCGGATTTGTCTGCATGTGGCAACATGTTGCACCTTAGCCAAGAAGTTTAGCCATCTTGCTTGCCGCAGAGGTGACCACATGGAGCTGACCATGAAGGCACGTTTTGACAGACTCCAAACATTGGAAATACGCGCATTCCAGATGTTTCACTTTAACGCACTTTCACTATATGTTAAAGTTCTCCCATTCTCAGATCGAACACTTCTTCCTTGAACAGGTTTGGCGCTGTGGTGGTCGCATTGAGATAGTTCCTTGCTCTCGAGTTGGACATCTTTTCCGAGATCCCAGTCACAGGCAAATGCTTAAGACACGTAGTGTTTGAAAATATATGATTCATGATATTATAGGATACATGCAAAACCACTGGGCAACTGCTTTTACCTGCCGACAGTAGTCTTTGGGTGGAAGTATTTTCCTCTTGTTTTCCCAGATTTAGGTTCAAAACGAGGTGGGGCTTCCCCAAAAGACGATAAAGATTGAAGATGTAGAAAGTGTCAACAACAAGTGCGTCGTTGGGAAAAAAGGCCAGCCGGTGATCAAAACATGTATTGGAATGGAAAATGAAGTAGGGGGCGCTTCTCCCGTCGCAGTAACCTCAAGTAATTTCAATCCCTTATACAGATTCAGCGATGTAGATGATGTAGTGTCTAGGTATACAAAATATATAAATAACATTAAATAATTATATATATATACACATACAACAAGACAGATATGAACATATAGTAAATTTCCTGAAATTTAAAAGTGTATCATACACTCTGAGCGGGCCCTATTTTCCTTTGGTAAATGTATTTTACAGACTTGGAGCCAAGAACATACCTCTGCACAGTTTGACCATTGTCTTCACGAGCTATCAGAATGCTCTTTCAATACCCTGCAGCCCTGGAGGCCATATGATGTTGACGTCAACACGGTTGTGCACAACTACAAGCGGCTAGCAGAGCTTTGGGCGCAGGACCGGTCCGGGAAAAAACAGCGTTACACAGGGAATCAAACAGCGTTATTTCCAGCAGCATTCATCACCCTACCTCCCATCTTGGGTATCACGGCAGCATCCACACAGTTCCAAGAGCAATAGTACCACCCAAAGCCACTCTGTGTCACCCCAGGTCTGCCCATAGCATCCAGTGGTGCAAGTTCCAAAGGCACTCTCACGCACTCACCAAATCACGCTTCTCGCCATCCAAAGCGGGCACTAGCCCTGTCATACAACGCAAAGCATGCAGTTATAAATGGGTTCAGTGAACAAAATATTCGCGGTAGCAACACTTGCGAGGGATTGACAAAACACTCTCAGTCCCTGCTGCTTTTCACGAAAACTAGCTTGCTAGCTGGAGTTGGATTTGCTTTAGCAATGAATTTGGGGGCAGACTGGATACAGTGCCCCGATGTTGCAGGTCGAACTGGTTTTGGGGCCCTGAGGTTCAGATTAATCAGGTCGAACTAACCCACCCCCCGTGCGGGCTCAAACCTCGCTACGTGCATCCGACTGGGTACGTAGGACACATTTTCGCGCGTATTTCTGGTTGCAGCCTTTGGAATGTGATACGCAAACAGTCCTCTTGCTCACCGGAAGCAAAACCATGATATCACCATCTAAGCCCTATCCTGGTTATATCATTTTTAATCATTTTTACATACCAGCGTTTGTGGGGAAAGGTTATATGCATTTTATATGCATGTTTCTGCATGCGGCATTTTGGGTCTGATGCCTAAACATTCAGGGTGCTGACCAAAAACGAAACCATGAGGCAACCATACAAACCCTTTCCTAGTTATACAGTTATACCATTTTGATGCACAACACACGTTGTCGACAAACATGACGTGCATATTTCTGCTTATAACATCGTAGTGTCATGATTCAATGGAACCATGTAAGCCTTTTCCTGGTTGCATCATTTTGATACAGTTATGTAGTAGTGGAAATTTGCGCATACTTAGGCTTGCAGCAATTGAAATTTGGGATGTGCCACGTAAGCATTCACATTGCTGATATAAGCAGCAAGACTACATAAGACTACGATACAACCATGGAGAGATTATGCTTCCAATCCGTCTCAAACATTCAGGCACGTTCCCTCTCCACATGTTTTTTCTCATGGCGGTTGCAAGAAGCCTCTTTCCGTGATGCAACCTGTCAGCCTTTTGCTGGCTATATATCATTTTGATGTACAGCACAAGTTGATTGTCGACAAGCTTGACGTGCATATTTCAGCATGTGACATTGTAGGTACGACGCTCAAAGAGTAAAATGGTCACTAAGGATACAATCATGCTAGAACCATATAATCCTTTTCTGCTTGTAACATTTTGCTGCACAACACAAGTAGTAGGACACATTTTCGCGCGTGTGCCAGGTTGCATCATTTAGAATTTGATATGCAAACATGCATCTTGCTTGTAGGAAGCAAAACCACGATACAACCATGTCAATCGTTTCCTGGTTATCGCCTTGCGGCACTTGGATTGCGTGGTGGCAGGGAATATCGTGGAAAGCTGCATCGCACATAGACATTTCAATGAGCGAAGTAGTGGAACTACCCATGCTTGCACAACCTCATTGCCAAACTAGCTTTCGTCCCCTTCCCTTTGGCCTCAAGTTCAGAGATTTTGAGAGTTACAGGTCTTAAGCTCTGTCTGCAAGGACCACCTTGAGTACTTCTACAAAATGAAACCTGAAGCCGTTTCAATGAAGCTGACTGGCATGGACAAAGTGATCGCCAACTACAATGTACTGAGAGATGAGCTGGGCTGCAAAGATCTCAAATGGTATCTGGAAAACGTTGACCATGAGATGGATTGGGAGAAAGATGTCCTTTGTCATCCACATGCCCGTGCAGGTGATCCCATCAAATGCAAGGGATCCCTTATACCAGGCCGCTGGACAGTCACTGAGACTATTCCCGTTGAAGAATACGTTAGGCGGAAAGCAGCATTAGAAGAAGCAGAAGGAGAAAAGGCAAGAACTGATTTGTGAAGTGATCTAAAGCGGAAAAAGGAAGGACAATGTGCCTTCAGCCGCTCATAGAAAACGTGTCCAAACTGAGGCCAATTGAGGCCAAGAAGTTAAAGAAGTTAGTTAATGCGGGACATTCCCAAAGACTCGTCAGTTGACACTGGCAGAACCGCTTAGGGTTCGAGCAAAAGTCTGCCTGGGTTTGCGGATCACGTTGCACTACATGATGGTCGCATGTTTGAGCTGTCCAACGTCTTTTCTTGATGAACAAAGGCTCGACCCTATGGTTCGTGTTCTACAGAGGCAATTGCAGCTTCCGCTGGCTTCCAAGAGTCTTGCAGATGGTGATAGTTAGGTTCCCACTGTTTGAATCTGTTTGAGACATTCAGCTTAATGTATTGCATCGTAGCAATTGGCACTATCTTATTAATTTAATTAGAATGGCTACTGTGGTATAGATTTGTCAAAATTGTTCGCTGACTGATTTGCTGAGCTCTGAGACTGATCAAGAGTAACATGGAGCGATCGCTCCTATTGTGCTGCCTAGGCCTCCTCCTGGCGAAGCACTTGAGCTTGAAATGCTGATAGCTGCCTTGCGTGCAGTTGTATCTTTCTCAGTTTCAGCACCTAGCGTGAATCATGATGGCTGGGGCCAAAGCAAGGATGATTTTTGGATGTTGCCGGGGGGGTCTGCGAATATGATGCTCAAAAGGGCTCTTCTTCAATTCTTCTGTCCCCTGTTGGCCAGGCGCTTTCTCTACCTTATTCAGGTTCCCGTGTATTTTTGTTTTCCCCGGATTCTGATGTTTTCGTTTTATTTCTTTTTTTTCTCCAATCATCAAATCTGCTGATTCGATTTTGTTCCCCCTAAAGATTTTGCACTTTGCTAAGGCTTGTACAGCACCATTGCAAGATGGCCTGCGACGCTGCAGTGTTTGTGGTGCTGCATTCGCAACACCGTTTGGGGCTTTTACATGTTTATTGAAGTGAACTGGTTTTAGAACTGCTTAGAAGCTTACCAATTCTAAGATTTAATAGTTGCGCAGCTGCGCACACCATTTTTTCGACTGCAAAGGCTGCGTATGCGGGATCATCTTGGCGGCCGTCGACATTGCACTGTACTGGCCTTTGAATTCTACATTGGACATGAACTGTATCTGTATCTAGCCATATGTAACTTAACTGTATCTCGTCGCATTGCCTCCGTTGGGCTCCTAGAGAAAACAGTTTGAGGCTGTGGCCATGCAATTTTCCAGTGAGAAGGGTCTGAGCCAGCCACTCAGCTGGAAGAAATATTTAAAGGCTTACGCCTGACAGCCGGGCGCCGGCCAAGCAATCTTGGCACCATGTTGGGCCTATGTTGGGCCTATGTTGGCCTATTTTTACGATGATTTTTAACACCGCAAGCAAAAAAAACCGTAAATTACAGGTCCTTCAGTCGGGGGGGAGTCGACACGGGGTGGGTCGGCGGCAGGGGGCGCAGCGCCTATAACCTTCGGTTACCACCGAAGGCCTCCGGCAAGGACACGGGCTCCGTGGCCGGCACCCGGATTAAGGGGCTACCGCTCCTGCCGCCAACCCCTGGGTCACACGCGAGTCATGGTCCAAATGGCTGAATACCACTGTGCTCGGCCCATTGCACGACTCCAAAACCTTGGCCTCGCAGCACCGAAAGACCATGGAACTAAAGGACGGACGGGGCCTTTCGACAGACAGCTGCCAGTGCCTAACGTCGCTTTCTGACGCAACTAGAATCTAGCTCCAAATTCTAACTTGCAAGTCCTCAAAACCTTGGCCTCGCAGCACCGAAACACGTCGCTTTTTGACGTGAACCTATAGGTCCCCAAAACCTTGGCCTCGCAGCACTGAAACACCGTGGAACTAAAGGACGGACGAGGCCTTCGACAGACGGCTGCCAGTGTCAACGTCGCTTTCTGACGCGGCTAGAATCTAGCTCCAAATTCCAGCTTGCAAGCCTCCAAAACCTTGGCCTCGCAGCACCGAAATACCATGGAACTAAGGACGGACGGGGCCTTCGACAGACGGCTGCCAGTGCCTAACGTCGCTTTTGACGTGACTAGAACCTATAGCTCCAAATTCCAGGTTGCAAGCCTCCAAGACCTTGGCCTCGCAGCACCGAAACACCATGGAGCACAAGGACAGACGGCTGCCAGTGCCTAACGTCGCTTTCTGACGCGACTAGGATCTCTATAGCTTCAATTTCCAACTTGCAAGCCTCCAAAACCTTGGCCTCATGGAACACAAGGACAGACGGCTGCCAGTGCCTAACGTCGCTTTCTGACGCGACTAGGATCTCTAGCCTAATTTCCAACTTGCAAGCCTCCAAAACCTTGGCCTCGCAGCACCGAAACACAATGGAACACAAGGACAAATGGCTGCCAGTGCCTAACGTCGCTTTTTGACGCGACTAGGATCTCTAGCTTCAATTTCCAACTTGCAAGCCTCCAAAACCTTGGCCTCGCAGCACTGTCGCACCACGAAACTAGAGGACGACGGGGCCTTCGGCTGGCAATTGCCCCGGCCCAACGTTGCTTTCTAACAGAAACTAGCTTTGCAGCCTTCAAGCTCCCGGATCGTTGCTTCCGTTTGTCATCCGTCGTGGCACCCTCTTTCAACCGTGAACTCGCCAGTTCCAAACACCATGCGAAGGAAGGCCGGACGAGCTCCTTCGACAGACGGCTTTCCGAATTGACA